AGCATAGAATCGGGACCAACTATTGGAAATGTATTACCCAAAACACCAATTCTGCAGAAGCTGACATGACGAGAAAAATGAAGAGGATATCACTTACTCTGTCATTGAACACAGATTCATCATGCTAGGCAGCCATTTTATGCATGAGATCAATATCCAAAAGATAAACTCATTTATTTGTGGTTTGGATAGAAACCGAGTAAATAGATCGAAGTATATTAATACGCTGAGCCTTTACATATAGGATTTTCTTTTAAGATTAGGATTCTGCCATGGAAAATTCAGTACTATTGTACTTTTAATGGTACTTTTTGACATCGAATGAACTGCCATACATTAGTGAATGTATTAAATCATATACTAGTCAAAAAACTGATCTATTTATTATGCCATAGAGTAGTTCATAGAGCAGTTAATCGATCAGTTTATAAACTTGTTAACAGACTAGTCCATAGAATTCTTTATAGTCAGTCATTAGATAAAATAGTCAATCGATTACATAGGTATTATTATGATGGACCCAAATTTCTTCCCAGTAATGTAAACACATGAACAACTTGCTTAACTAACCTAAACTAAATTAAGGTCATCGATTCAACAAATTTGTGTAGTTTGTTGTCTGACGTTCTAGTTGTAAATTCATCATCTTATAAATGTGGTTAAAAATGAAATTTTGTTGACAGTTAAATTGTCATTACAAGCCGAAAATGATGCCATTCTACACGTACCACTCACTCGCTCACTGTACATTTATTATTTTGTGATACGAGTACGAGAAGTAAGTAGTTTATTTAACTTTTTTTTATGAATTAATTTTTTGCTTTTTAAGTTCAATGTCCAAGCTTTCACTTAATGTCGTCTATTAAAAAGAAAGGGTAGGAAGGGAGGAGATGAAGTAGAGTCACATCGTCTCACTATTCTAGTACAGATTATCAAAAAGTGTCAAAAAGATATTTATTCCATTCTGTTTTTTAAACTTTTATTTCTACTACTTTTTTGTCAACATGAAAACAGACATTAATGTACAATAACATTTTAGATGAAAATGTTAAATGAAAAGTTGTTTGTTATACCCTACACCACTTTAGTGGGGAGGGTATATTGGATTTGTGCTGATGTTTGTAACATACAAAAATATTCGTCCTAAAGTATATCAATCGGCTTAGAATCGTTTTCTGAGTCGATTAAGCTACGTCCGTCCGTCCGTCTGGCCGGCTGGCTGGCTGTCCATGTAAACCTTGTGCGCAAGCTACAGGTCGCAATTTTCAAGATAATTGGATGAAATTTGGCACGCACGTTTTATTTGACCCAAGGACGAATCCTATTGAAAATGGTTAAAATCGGTCCATTATTTCCTAGCCCCCATAGAACAGAACCCCCCGGAAAGGAGCTTCTGAGCTTATAATTATGTTAAATATACACATATATCGATAAAACACGGCACAACTAAGTTTTATAGAAGTCTTGATGACCCTACCAAATTTCATAAAGATCGGGCCCCATTTGACCCTAGCTCCCATACAAAGTCCCCTTCAGAAAATTACTTGAATGTCCCAAATTAACTTATAAACACAAATATCGCGATGAAATTCAGCACAATAAAATATTATGTAAATATAAATATATTCACAAAATGTTATCGGGCTTGGTCCATATTTGCCCCTAGCCCCCATATAAAGCCTCTTTCAGAAAATTAGTTTTTCATCCATAAATTGCTTAAATGTATCGGAACAAGGGAATATTGAAGATAAATTCTTTATTATGAAAAATAAATCACATTTAATATTCATAACTGGTGTAGGGTATCATATGGTCGGCCACGCCCGGACTATACTTTCTTACTTGTTTTTAGTTTTGCTTAACTTTGAAGTGTGGACGGACTCACTTGTCAAGTTTTAAGGAACTGGTAAATATTTGTGGTCATTAGCAAAGTCATTGCTAAATAATAAAATTTGTATAGTTTTTGAAAAGTTTTTAATATTAAAATAATATTGCTGCAAACTCATCCCCAAAACCCACTTTCTCCTCCACCTCCCCATACTTTTTTCTGAATCATAAAAAATGTAACCAACTTCAATACAATATAATTTCCGTAGCAGACAACAAAGATTTGTTCGTTAAAGATTATTTATTGTTTAATACAATGTACTTACATTGGTACATACATATGTACATACATACATTTGTATGTATTCATAAAATGTTCATACCCGTACATTAATGTCTACAGATGGATGGATGCAAACAGTTTTTCAAAACAAACTTTTCAGACAATGAAAGATAAATACCTTTTATACCTACATATCATATTTATTTATTTAATTTTATTTGTAACCGAATAATGGTCGAAGAGTATGTTTAAGCATAATTTATTTTTTAATATAGGTTATTCACACCAAGTTTTATTAAAAAAAAAACTGTATTTATTATTTTGAGTGATTTTTCATTTTTATTTTTGGGTAATTTTTCATCAGGTAATTTTGCAGGAAACCTTTTGAATAAAGTTATTTGAATTTGTTATAATTTTTTAACAATAACAAAGAAACCAAAAAATGTACTACAAGAAATGTGTTACTTTTACTTGAACATCTAAATTCCCCCGGTAGGTGGTTGGTAGTGTTTTAATCTGTTAGTCGGATGGTCGTCGGTTCGATTCCTATCGGAGACTCTAGAAAATGTGCTCACGAAAGGTCCGGTAGTGGTATAGAAGTGTTTCTGTAGTAACAAACTAACATGCATTTAATGTAAAAGGTTAGTTGATTACGAATCCGGTATGAGGTATGATTAAACCCTTACAAGATCGCTCAGAAGTTGTATATTGTTCTCTTAAAAACATCTATTATCAAGATATATCCATAATTTAATTGAATAATATTTTCTAAATTAAAAGGTTTTACTTCAAAATTATACAAAAAATAGAAAGGAGCAAATTCGGAGGAAAAATGGATAGAATTATAATTTTTGATAGAGCCTAGTGTTCTCTTTAACCTAACTTTCTAAAATTTTAATAGAATATATCTTTTGAGAATAGACAACATTTAAAAGGGGTAATAACGGGAAAATCAGTTATCTTAGTTATTGAATTTTGCTCCAACAAAACGGAGTAATCGGAAAGTTAAGCTTTACTTCTTTAATTTGAAAAAAAGTGACGCTGAAGCAAACCGTAGGTTATGGTGAAAGTGATCCATCGTTTTAACGTACAAAAGACGTTTAAGCAAAAACGTTTGACCCAGAATTAGAGTCATAACTCCATGAAGATTGTTGTCAAATTCAACAAGAGCTTTGAAAGCTACTTAAGCATTAATATTGAAAAGTTTACTAGCATCAGGATTCTTTGAAAGCAGGGAAATTGTCTATTATACGAACAATTCTGAAATCTGTTCCTTCATTAAACATTTTTGTTCGAAGTTGGTTCCAGTATTCGTAGCATTTGTTATTATACCCTACACCACTTTAGTGGGGAGGGTATATTGGATTTGTGCTGATGTTTGTAACATATAAAATATTCGTCCTAGACCCACCTTAAAGTATACCAATCGACTTAGAATCGTTTTCTGAGTCGATTAAGCTATGTCCGTCCGTCCGTCCGTCTGGCTGGCTGGCTGTCCATGTAAACCTTGTGCGCAAGCTACAGGTCGCAATTTTCAAGATAATTGGATGAAATTTGGCACGCACGTTTTATTTGACCCAAGGACGAAGCCTATTGAAAATGGTTAAAATCGGTCCATTATTTCACCTAGCCCCCATAGAACAGAACCCCCCGAAAAGGGCTTCTGAGCTCATAATTATGTTAAATATACAGATATATCGATAAATACGGCACAACTAAGTTTTATAGAAGTCTTGATAACCCTGCCAAATTTCATAAAGATCGGGCCCCATTTGACCCTAGCTCCCATACAAAGTCCCCTTCAGAAAATTACTTGAATGTCCCAAATTAACTTATAAACACAAATATCGCGATGAAATTCAGCACAAAAAGATATTATGTAAATATAAATATATTCACAAAATTTTATCGGGCTTGGTCCATATTTGCCCCTAGCCCCCATATAAAGCTTCTTTCAGAAAATTAGTTTTTCATCCATAAATTGCTTAAATGTATCGGAACAAGGGAATATTGAAGATAAATGCGATATTATGAAAAATAAATCACATTTAATATTCATAATTGGTGTAGGGTATCATATGGTCGGCCACGCCCGACTATACTTTCTTACTTGTTTTTCAGTTGAGATCAATGATATTTATTCAATATTGTCACGACTATAAACCTAATGTTGTTTTATAGTCCACATTCGTTTTATTGAACGGTTCTCGAAGCAGATTTTTTTGTCACTCTAAAAACTAGTTTAAGGAAAGCTTTAGTTAGATAGAACTAATTCTTTTTTATTGAATTCTGTTTCCGAAATTGTCATTGTCAGAACTAACTCAATTTTGCATCGAATCATTACTTGAAAAATGAGTCCATTGCATTAACCCGAAGTGTAACAGATTGTGACTGCTCTGGTATTTGGCAAAAACCAAAAGGGTCTTAACAATTACGGGTTGCTGAAATCTGGTCAGTTCATTAAAGGGTAGCTATACCGAATGCAATTGATTCGTTTGCTGTGAGCATTGGCCAAAAAACGTCCTGAATATGCGTTCAGAAATTTTGTTTCAATCTATGTAGAATGCTCTGCGATATAATACTCTTCAGAACAAGGTATGCGAAACTGTCTTCACTCGTTCTTAGCCTCAAAATAACAATTTTGTCTTTGGAACCAAATTTTTTCCAAATATCGATAAAAATTTTAATGTTTTGAATGCAAAAAGTAGGTACCTTTGCCATATGTTGCTCTAATTTGTATTGTAGCTTTATGAACTCACTTAAAAACCCTGCTTAAAGAGAAATGCCCGTCTTAAAACGTTAAGGAAATAGTTTCGGAATAGTGGAAATAAAATAGAATGTTGCATAATATATATAATTTGTTATCAAATATTCTAAATTCTAAACTTACCCATAAAATAATATTGAGCCAACAAAATGTCCTTCTTATACATGTGTAACCTGCATTTGCCATATTTGTGTGATGTTAACTGGAATAAGGGAAAAAACGATTTATAAAGTCAATTTATAAAAGTTTTAATATAAGAATTGATGTAGTTTTAAATTATTGTAATAAATGCTTAAAATTTACTCTAAATTAACTAGTTTTGGAACGAGTGTAAACAGAAATCATAATAGCAAACTTTGGAGCTATCAACGTCTTTACTCAAAATTTCGGACTCCGACTTGAAACTTTACATAGATCCTTTAAAGAGGAATTAAAGTTTCAGAAACTCAGTCCCCTAGACATAACTCTTTAAATTTAAGAATCAATCAACAACTACTTAACAATATGCAAAAATTGATCATCATAGAAAGCATACTTCTAATTCATCAAAATATGTAGATCTCTATGACTGAATAATCTTATTAGTGCAAAATTTTTATACATCATTTATTTCTATCTTCCAATTCAATGATTTTTTAAAAGTTTAAACTATTATAGGCATTATTTAGTATTTGTTTATAATAAAGTAAAAAGACACTTATGTGACTAAACTTGCATATCTATAGATATCATACGAATACAATCTCGTAAAAGTATCTTATTATGTTTTGGTTATTCGAACTTCTTTCTTTATTATTTCTTTCATAACTATGATTGACAATTGCATAAAATTACTTAAGTAGATTGTTTGTATTGTATTTTATTTATAATATTGTAGTAGTAGAAGACAGAAGACAAGACAGACTTGTCTTTTACTACAGATATTTATACATTATATAGCTAGTAAGTATGTGAATCTATCTGTCAGTCTGTTTGTCTAACTACTTTAGTTAGTTTTTGTATTGTAACTCAGATGTATGGCTTTCAATGATTTGGGTGAGTTAATAAGTAATTTCTTTTCTTCTTTTTTTAAGTTTTGTTAATTGAAAAAGGTTATTAACTTTAACATTGAATTTTAAATTGTATTAAAATTGATTTTATTATATAAAGGTATTAATAAAGTTATTTAAGAAAGTAAGTGAACGATTTGGCGCTTGGGATTTAACTTTTAATTTATTTTATTTATTTGTGTTATTTTTAAATGAATATTTATATTAACTAGTAACTGGACGAGTGACATTTTGAAAACAAGTTTATTAATTTAATTGTTTACCTTTTGCAATTAATTAAAAATATTATTAAGGCTAATCATTTAAAAGAGCAAGTTGGAGCAATAAAAAGTATTTGTGTTTAAAAAATAGAATAAACAGGCCTGGAGTATGTATACTAGGGTTCTATAAATCGACTTTCGAATAATCGAACAATCGACTTTTTGTCGAAAAAAGTCGAAAAGTCGAAGTCGACTATTTTGTTCCAAAAAAGTCGATAACTCGACTATTGTCTGTGAAAAAAGTCGAAAAGTCGACTTTGTGAATAAAAGTCAAAAAAGCCGAAAAGTCTGAAAGTCGATAAGTCGAAAAAAGTCGAATAAAGTCGAATAAAGTCGAAAAAAGTCGAAGAAAGTCGAAAAAAGTCGAAAAGTCGTAAAAAGTCGAAAAGTCGAAAAAAGTCGAAAAGTCGGAAAAAGTCGAAAAAAGTCGGAAAAAGTCGAAAAGTCGGAAAAAGTCGAAAAATCGAAAATTGTAGAAACAAGTCAAAAATAGTCAAAAATTTTTAGAGTCAAAAACTCTAAAATAGTCGGAAAAACTCGAAAAAAGTCAAAAAATAGTCGGAAAAAAAGTAGAAAGAAGTCGAAAATAGTCAAAAAGTCGAAAAAATCGAAAAGTTGAAAAGTCGGAAAAAGTCGACTATTTATAAAATACTTATAGTCGAAAAGTCTAAAAGTCGACTTTTATTTAAATGAAAAAAGTCGAAAAATCGACTTTTCATAAAATGCAAAAAGTGGAAAAGTCGACTGTTAACTAAATGAAAAAAGTCGAAAAGTCGACTTTTCGTTTCAACTATAGAACCCTAATGTATACCAGTTCCACAACTATTTCAAGAAAGCTTGAATGTTAACGTTAATAGTTGTAGTGGGGTGTTGAAATTGTCACCTTAAGAAGTGGTTCTGTTTTATTACTGTAGCATTTTACAGTCTGAGATTTTGTCATAAAAAGGCCTGTTAACCGAACGAGGTACTACAGTTTATACAATATCCGAAGTTGTATTTACTCAAGCCTTCTATAACAACTCTGTTCAACAACTTGTTCATTAATATTGGGAATCAGATATACAGAATCTGTTATAGATGCATCACCACACAATACTTGGTATTATGTGGTATGGTAAATCTCTTACAGTACTGCTTAGACCATATGCTCATGCCTGACCACTTGCTCGACATTAACGCTGACCAGGTCCATTTTAAAAGAACACTACGTAATAGGTGCTCATGACAGAAGACTTAATCATCCATTTAATGATTATTGTAGAGGTTGCCTCTATTGATCCCTTTCTTTGTTTTTGTCCTGTTCTGTTACACATTAGTACTGAGATTTTTGGATGACCAACATTGCATGATAGAGTCGTTTGTTCGTGCCTTGGGAGGGTTCAAACTCATAATAAACACGGACAAGTAATATTATGTCTTTAGGTCGAGACGGGATTCGTTTTGGGAAATACAAAGGGCCTTTGTGTTGAAGCGTAAGATTCGAAATTTGTTCTATAGAACATTTCTGAAACCTTCTCTTTCTTCAAATTCATTTTTGCCCGAAATTAGTTCCAGCGTTCGTAGAATTTGTTATTTATCAGTTATTTTCTTTTTCATATTGTTAAGATTGGAACTATGTCACCTTTGAAATTGGTTTTATAGAACGATTCTCAAACCGGTTCTTTTCAAAGATTTTTTTGGAAATTGTTGTTTAAGGAACTAGTTTAAGTTCTTTAATTGAAGAATTTGGCTTTAATTTGTTATTGGGGATTTAGTCCTGAAAAGATTTAAAGAAGCAGTTCTAGAACTACTTCTTTTCCACAGAGATATTTATTTGAAATTCTAAAGTTTTGAATTAGTTTAAAAAACCAATAGAGAATACATTCATAATACTTGATATTAAAACTCAATTGAAAACCGATTCCAAAAAGTTGTTTCGGAACTAGTTTGTGGACTATTTTATATTAGTGTAGAACTTAGGTATAACAAGTGCCAAAGAAGCAGTTCCTTGAAACGACTTTGGAAGTACTTTAGACTTTAGAATAACAAAAATGGTACACAGAATAGTTTCCAGAAGTTATGTTCGCCATAATCATTAGTTTCAATATTCAAGTGGCTCTGTTTACACTAGTTTCAAAATCCAAAATCTTTCCTGAGAAATGTATATATTTTTAATTGATTTAAATTTTTATACTTTTTTCAAAGGTTTTCAAGAATATTCTATGGAACTAATGTAAAACTAGTGCGAAAGAACTCTGTAAAAGTTCATTAGAATTACAAGAATATTCTTGAAAAGAGTTAATAAAGTAATGATGTCACTACTAATTCTAAGGTTTCCATTTAAGAATCTGAAGTGGTTCTGTTTGGAATCTGAAAAAGCTAAAACAAAATCTATAAAACTAATAATAGCGGAAACGAAAGCATTCGTATTGATCAGGCCTCTAAAAATCGATGATGCTAATATCAGTCAATGATGTCAGTTTTATAGTTTAATTCATAGAATTGTTTACAAACTATTTATTATTCATTTAACAGTTTTAAGACCTTAAAAAGTGTTAATTATTAAAAATAATGCCAAGGTCAATGTTCTAAAAAATCAATAATAATAATACAAACTTTTTAAATTTCACAAATAATAAATCAATTATAAGAAATAAAACAAGATTTCATATATTTTCATAAATTTTTCGAAAGTATTTCAAACATCAATTTTAATATCCACTTTAAATTAACTGACCCTCCTCCTTCTATTCTAAACTTAAAACATAAACCAGAACCTTGAGCTTTAAGTGTAAAATTGGGTCAAGTTGACAATATATAAATTTGCAACAAATTATTTTGTTTTTAATTTAACCGCCAACAAAGAATTATGACCCTCTTTATATTTAACGGCAACAACTATTCCCCCAACTAATATGCAACAGCTGCAGCGCAAAAAAATGCAATCAACCAACAACAGTATGTTACAACTGTCGCAAAACAATAGTAAGTATGAGAGTATTAACTGCAACATCTTTATAATAAATCATATTTATTTTTGTTTCGTTATTTATATTAATTAGTTTTTTTTAAACATATTCACACTCTGCTTAAAAACAAGTTCTTTTTTTCTCGTTTTAAAAAATTTTTAAATCTGTATTTGAAACCAAATAGAAAAAAAACTGCAGTTTCCGCCAACAAATCGCAACAAGAATAACCATAGCAATAAAAAATATAAACAAAATGGCATTTCCGTTAATTTATAAATTATATCTAATAAAACAATAGCGAAAAAATCGTTATAATAGCAAAAAAATATTAAAAAAATACAAATAGCAGCAGCCTGCTAGAACAAGTGAAGCCAAAATGAATTTATGTATTTTTAACAAATAAAACGACAACATATAGTCAGTCCGTCTAAAAAAAATAAATCTGTCTATCAGCGTTTCTCAAATGTGTTATATTTGGGAAATTGATAGTAGGCTGCTAGTTATTTTGTAGCGATATTAATTGTTATTCACCATTAAATGATAGTATTTGATACGTTTACTAGCAAATGTCATTCACTAGGAAGTGGTAACTTAAAAAACGTATAATTTTTCTGCAAAAATGTATATTTATAACTCATACGTTTAAACGAAAATACATCGGGAATTGATAATAAAAATTATAAATTTTATTGTTATTTTAGTAGTTCTTGTACGGGTTCACGTTGAAACACTTTAGATTCTTAAACATCAACATCGGAACTTGTGATGTACTTCTAGAAGTCGCTTTCTATTGAATATTGTTGTGATTCTAAAGAGTTTTCTAGGAGCCAGCTCTTTAGCAATAGTTCCACACGAATCCAATAGGAACTAGTACACACATACTAGTTCCTAAACAACTTTTTCTTTAATCGAAATTGATATCCGAAAATGGTAATTTTTTAAAAAGTAAATACATTTCTTTCCATTGAAATATACCTTGGAGCATCATGAATGTTTTGGGTATTTCAAATACAACTGAGCCAACTATAGTTAAACAGGCCGACAAAATTTTAAAAAAGTCGAAACGTGATACCTACTTGTACTTTTTATACACGATTGAGCAGTGCTGAATCCGAATTTGATCTCACATATCGAATATCATGTCCAAAATTTTTAAAAACTCGATTTTTCCCCTATTTTGAGATGTTGTAATGGCTCAAGACAACTTTGTTTATAAAATGTTATATGGCATTTAAATGCCTATTCTGAGAACTTTAAAATAAAGTCTTAACGTCTAACATATCTTCTTTTTTCTTCGAGATATCACCCTACACTGCTAGGTATAGTGCTTAGTAAACATTGTTTATAACCAACAAAAATATTGGATACACACGTGTCTGAGGATGTTCCAATCGACTTCAAATCACTTTCTAATTCGATTTAACGGATGATATCTCAGAAATTACAGCAGTTTTTTAAACAATTCAAAATAGAAAATAATTGAAAAGGTGAAATTGGTCCAATACTGATTGAACCCTTGATATTTATATTTTAAAGTAGAAGACTAAATTAAACGATTATTAATTGTAAAGTTAACGAGAGACAGGCTAAACTTCGTTTTGTTCAAAATATCGAAAGGGAAAACTAACTTGAGCTCAGTTATTGGCCAGTTTGTAATTAAAATTCCAATATTTATCCCTAAAACATGATCAGTTTCTGAGTTCCTGACTTCTAAACTAGAAAGAACGAACATGATTTCTTTTGCGATATGCATTTTTGAGAAGTTTGAATAAATTTTTTATGACTTTTTCCCGTTCCGAACAAAGTATGTAGTTCCAAAGTTCGCAGCAAAATCATAGAAGTGCTTTCCACAAATACTATTTATATGAAATGATGCATAAATTTGGAACCAAGTGGTCTAGAGTTAAGACTAATTTTTAATAAAACATAAGGAAAGGAATATATGGGTTCCCCGCAGAAAAGAACCGGTTTCTATATATTTTAAATGAAAAGGCTTCTCCTTTATATATGTTCTTCTTTAACTTTTGAATAAAGATTTCCAGGATGAATAAAAATTCCCGAGAAACAAAGAGTGGTGCCCAACTCTAACGAAGAAATAAATATTCAATGGCTTCAGAGTCAGGAAGGAGAACATAGGGAATATGTTAATCCAGACATATATTCGTTGTTCAGGAAATCTACCTAATTAAGGTCAGTGGAGAGCTTCTACATAAGTCATTGTAGTGTAATCCATGTGATTTAGTGTAGATATCAAATTAACAGTGTCCAGTAATGACTTTAAATAGGTCGTTGAGTTGTGGGCGACTCATCGCGAGGCCTTAGAGACATTCATATATTTGGTTATATTGCATGAAGATCCATCTCAACAAGTTAATAAAGTTGTCGGTGGAATACTACATAGGAAATCTATATCTAATACTCCAATTTTTGAAAGACTGTATCCAGTTCCAGCCATGTCTCACCATCCCCTAGTCTAATCTCTATGTAGTATAAATGCCTGTCTGGAATTTCATTGATCCTATCCATATCAACAGTTTGGATTAGAATTCCCACATAAAATGGATGTGTGTTTTGGTCCATCATTCTAATTTCTCAAACTGTACACCTTGAATGCAAGATAAAATATAATGACCTCATATATTAATCGAAAGCTCCGATGATTTCAAAAAATGATTTGAAACTTCATCACAGAAATCTGACATTCAAGAATTCGGATAAATAAAAAAGGAGATGAAAGCGTGTGTCTCCAATAGATTAGTAGTTATTGTACTAGTCTGTGAGTCCGGAGGTTGTTCGAGGTTCGATCACCACCTGAGGAACTAGTAAAGGAGCTCCCAACAGACCCGATGGATGCCAAAATGTATATTCAACACCAAAAAACCGAAACAGAAAGCCTTCGTTAGTTTGCCTTTTTATGTTCTCTGTTTTATAACTGTAGGGTCTAATTATAATACAATTTGGGAAACACTGCTTGAGAATTTAGTGCAAAAAAAGTAAAACACAAATAGCACTTGTCCGTCGCCTGTTAAGTAGTCATAATAATCATAATAATATTTTCTGAACACATTTTATTTTATAAATTACATATAAACGCGCAGTGGAAATTGTAATCAATTTCAATTTATTTTATTTATTTTTTTAAATTAATAATAATAGTAACACATCATTATAGTTTTTTTTATGATTATTTAATAAGATCCTTGTGCTCAAAATTGAGAAATTAAATAAATAGGAAAATACACTTTGCACTCTTATTATTTCGATATTCAAAATCTCATTTCTGTTTAAAATTTTCACTTTTTTTGGGGGAAATTTTCTAATTTTATGTAAATTAAAATATGTGGCAGAGTACTTTTTGTTTATTTTTTAGAAAAAGTGTACTTATTTAAAAGTATAAATAAATTAAGAAAAAATAAAACTACCTAAATAAATTTATACACAATTGTAAACACACAAACTCACACACCTTGTTCTGAATTAAATCGTTTTTTTTTTCAAGTGAAAATAATGTTTTTTACAAGTTTCTTTTCTTTTTCAAAAAAAAATGTTTTTTTTTTTTCAATATTATTATAATTTTATTTGTTTGTTGTTTTTGTGCTTAAAATTTGTTTGTTTGTTGTTTTGCATTTAAATTAATTTAGATTTTGTAAATTTGTTTTTTTAAAAAGTCGTTGCGGCTGTTTGTATTATTATCATTATTATTATTTTTGTTTAGTGTTTAACATTATAATGAGATTTTCCACATTTCATTTGATTGCTTTTATTTCAATTTATTTCTTTTTTTGGTTTATTATTCGTCAATTTATCACGTTCAACTAAAAGTTAAATATTTAAATAAAAAGTTCTTAACGCCGCGAGCATACAAAACGTACTGAATTCAAAATTTTTGAAATTGTTCAAATATTACAACAAATTATAATCATTGCTAGAAACAACAGAAGAAGCACTAGATATTGTCCGATGTATGTATGTGCTCGGGTCTATCTGTTGTATCTTTTTTTCTTTTGTTTATCAAACAAGAATTTGTGCGATACAACTGCATCATCAACACAACCACTCAACGTACAACTTGTTTGTTGACATTCCGCAAATTGTTGCTAGTGATGCCAGTTGTAAAAGGTCTTTATGGGATTTTGATTTTTTTTGGGAATATCTTAGTCAAATGGTTTCGGAATATCATTTAAAAACAATAATCGCGATAAAATTAGAACAACTTAGTTTTAGGACTTCAGTAGGTTAGTTGGTGTTGTTATAATCTGTTAGTCCGAAGGTCGTGATTATGGTAAAGTCCGATAATGACCTAGCTGCATTTCTTTGGAACTGATGTAAAATACTTCCTCCTTTTAAACTAATTAACAAGTTTTACTTCCTCTAGTATAAAGTATAGTATAAAGATCACATTGTGGATTTATTCAGACCATTAATCAATTTCTAATATATCTTCATTAGATTCCGATAAATCCGATACGATGCGGTAATTTTTCTTAAATTTAAAATGTGATATGATTAATAAATCTAATCTCAGAGTTACTTGTGTAATCATTCTACCAACGTGTATTCTATATCCATCCACGCGGTACAATTAGTTCCATGGCACGGATCAAAAGGAATTTCCGAAGATGTTGTTCCGTTAACAAACATTATATTGTTCTAGGATTTAAAATTCTAAATTCGGTTTATACCGGTTGCTAGTACCGGTAGTATTTTTAAATGAAAGTCCTATCCATCAATAACATTCTGGAAGGAGTTATATCAACAATTAGACAATCAGAATGTAAGATGCTCCTTCAATTCAATGAACATAATTTCGATTGAAAATCGCATGTTTTATATACAAAATTAATATAGTGAATCCGGAGGAGTACAGTTTAGAAGTTTATCTTTCGATATCTATTCCTACTTAGTTAGGAATACACCTATGCCTCTATCGGGCCTATTGTGCGCTCCTTAACCAGTGCCTCAGGTGAGAATCGAACCCACTACCTCCGGTCTACCAGACTAGAACACTAATCACTAACCTAGTACTGGATACTTTCGCTATCAAAATGCATATAAGATATGGACCAAAGCGGTCATCAATGTTTACTGGACCCATTTGATGGTTTTACACAAACATAAGACGCGTCCGATAGTATACCAGAGACAAAAATGATCGAGAACTGTGTACCGAAAGTTTTAAAATTGAATTAAAGCAAATATGGCGCCATATTTTCGGTTAGCCTGAAGTAAATTAGAGCAATATATAGTAAGCTGATAAGGTTAAATCTAAGATTTCGAGAGAGCTATAACGGAACCAGCTTTTTAACTTTGTATTATATGGGCACCAGGTCACTCGTGAATAATCGGTTAAGTAGTAGCAAACGTATGCAATTGCTATGTCGAGAAGAAAACTTAAGAAAGATAATCTGACGAATGCAAAACCATTCGACGTAACGGAGGCCCAGTTTAATGAATACGTACGGCCACTAGGTTCACACAAATTTGTTGGGATGATCCTATCGTGAGGAGGACGAGAAGTCTCCTTAAATTGAGTCCGAGATTAGTATGCTGTTACGTACTATACGGACTACGAGCACAACTATACAAATTGTTCGAATGAATTTACGCGAATTGAAACGCTGGAATAGTCATTGACAGGCTTTTGTCGAAATTAGATTTAAATATCGTGAAAGCTTTGATATTCATTCCTCAGGAGCGCTGATTAGGAAATTGTAAGGAAATATGTGCAGGAAGCTGAGCTTTTGAATGCCTGATGATAACTTTTATCATAAATTACTATTTACCATATTAAGGAGAGAACCAAAGGCCCTCCTTTTAAGCGAACCCAACCTAGTTTTAGAAAAAATACCAATATATGGATTTTTGAGAAAACTACGAGCAAGTACAAACTAACTTTAAATCCATGTATTTTAGACAATTTTATAAATCCCAAAACCTCAGAATTTATTAAGGTATGTATTATATTACCAATGGCAACCCACCTATAGAAATATTTTTTTTTTTCATTGCCAAACTACTAAAGCTTTTTCAATACAAATAACTTATAAACATAAAAGCTTAATAATAAAGCTTTCAATTTGTTTGTCCCAAAACTTTAACGATCACAGCGATCATTTCTTTTCGACCTGTGGAGCAAGAAAATAAACACAAAAAGATATCAGTTTGTTTATACAACTCTTCAGAGGTGGTTTAGGCACTTGGGACAAGCGGAAAATATAAAAAAAGGTAATAAACTAAAGATTGAACTTGAAATTTTGAATGCGGTGTTAACAAACTTTTTCGTAATCAAAACCATAAATATTTATACAAAAAATAGCACAAGTTGATGATGGTGTTGTTTAATTTATAAAAAAAAAATGTTACAAAATTTAAAAAATATTGAAAGAAATGAACAACTTTCGCTTTAATTTTTTTTTTTTTTGCTTTGTTTATTAAACTTTAACCTGCATGCATATTTTAACGAAAAAAAACTTATGTAAATTTGTTTATTTCATAATTAATTTAATTTGGAAAATATCGATTGCAGTCAAGCAGCCAACGCAACGTAATGGGTTTTTTAATTTTTGCTTTGATCTTGTACATCATTTGGGATGTCAACTATTTTATACGTTGCGTCTTTACAGTATTAGCCGGTCGTCTGTTCCAAAGTAAACGGAAAGTTACTGATACAACAACAATTTATGGTAAGAGCTTAATCGCTGTAGTAAATGCAGTGAGTTTAATTTTTTTTTGTTTTTGTTTAGTTATTTAATTATTTACAGGTTGTAGCTAGAGTTTTAAAGGAATGAATTGTTTTATGAAATTTTAATTTGAAAGTCTAAATTCCTTTTAAACTCTGTAAATGTAATTGTAACTTTTGTATTAACTAACATTTATCTCTTAACTCCTTTAAGGTCTCTGCACTTCCCAAGATGTCGATATTTTCATCAGACACATGAACAATGCTCGCTATTTGCGTGAATTAGATTTTGCCCGTTTCCATTTCTATGCCCTTACCGGCTTGTATGAGAAGGTCAAAGAACGTCATGGTGGCGCTGTACAAGGTGCTTCTAGTGTTCGCTACCGCCGCACCATACCCATTTTCCATCCCTATAAGATACAAACCAAATTGATTTGGTGGGACGATAAAGCCATCTATTTGGAACAACAATTCATTACTTTAGCCGATGGTTTCGTACGTGCCGTTGCCTTGTCCAAACAATGCATTACCAACTGTAATGTCATGGATATTATGAAGACCTATCAAGAGGCTTCAAAACGCCCTGAAATGCCTGAAGATTTGAAATTGTGGTTGGAGGCTATTGAGGTGTCTAGTCAGAAATTGCGTAAAGATAAATAGATAGTTGTATTGCCGTGTGTTTTAGTTGTAAGCTAGTAAGGTGTTAAGTTTTAATTAAAATAAAATTGATTTTTTATTGTATTTGTATAAATTTTTATGAAGTCTAAAGTAAATAGTACTTAAGCTTGCAATGTTTTTTAAATAAAGAATTTTTTTTATATAAAACGTATAATTAATGAGTAAAGCCTTTGATTTTGCTTATTTCAGTTGAAATTAATTCGCAAATAATGAAATGAAGACAATTTTATTTTGCTTTTAAATTACACAACTAAGTTCATATTCATTTCGAAAAATTTAAAAATGCTGTTAATCGTTCTAGTTAAACCCTTGACAGATCAGAAGGATCAGAAAAAAAAGTCGACCTTAGAGTTTGATAACGCGTTATTTCAAAGGCCGTACAATTACAAAGAAAATGAGTGATTTTTTCTTTCTTGTCCTCATTTTGATAACTTCTACAAAAGTCGTAATTGGGAAGACCCACTCGCCTTGCATGGTTACCAATTAACTGATAAAATAGTACTCACAGTCTGCTTAGACTTACTAGATGGGATGTTCTATGAGGATCTGTACAAGGCCCCATCGATCGAGTAAGTGTACTCTGGAGACCATCTGGGCCTGAGTTAAACTGTAACTTATTTCGAGTATAAACTTTTTAATGGCCTATAGGGGAACACAACAAAATAAATCAATATCTAATAAAGCTATTGAGGTTCCAGCTTTCGCCAAGGTATCAGTAATATTATTGCCAGTAATATTCCTGTGTCCTGTTACCCATATTACGATGATTATCGAATGTGTCGCCATCTCGTTTAGAGACGGACAACATTCCTGGACTAATCTAGATATAGAATACACACCGATCTGGTGTCAATATATGTATATTCTGATAACATTGTTAGATATCCGATAAGCCAATATATTTCCCTTTTTATTGTTGACATTTCAGTTTGTAGAATAGTACAATCATCATTAAGTCTAAAGTAAATTTAAGTTCCAAATTCTCCAATGAAGATACCTGATAAATGATACTATTTTTCTGATAGACATTATAGAGTACAACAAGAATCTGTCGTAACTGATTTGAAGTTTCTCAACGGATTTAAAACGATACCTATATTAGTAAATAAAAGAGTAATGTTTGTTCGAAATCGATAAACTTAGGAACTACTGCGACTAATGAGACGAAATTTTTAAAAATTCGAGGAATGTTTAGATCTTAACGTAGAGAATCAACATGACCGATAAAGGGGATTCAAGGCGGACCGGGCTCGACTAGTCTGTTTTATTTAAGTCACTAAATAACTAGCCTTCCGTGACATCAAAAATTTATTTGTAACTCAAGGTGTTTGACAATTTTCAAAACCGATTAATTATATACTTTGAAGCTCCTGTAAGAAAAACAGTATCCCTTCCCAGATATTTATGTTTGTGGCATAGTGCAATTCAAATTTCGATGGAAATAGTTTTTAAAAGTAAAAAAAAAATTCAGTAATACTCACTTTTAGCAGCATGTTTGGGCCGTGCCCTAGTGTGAATGGTTATTCAATTATCTACTGCGATTTTAAAACTGCAATAACTTGTTCTTGAAACAACAGAATCAACAGCAAAGTCGTTTTTAACATTTAGTAGCAGGATATTGTTTTGACATGGTTGAACACTCCCTCTAGGGTTAATTATAGTTCAGAGTTCTATACAGTATATGAAATCTTAAGTAGAAAGCAGACTTTCTTTATATTCAAGAATGTATACTTATTTCATATGCAATTTTATGGTAGATACCTGGAAAGATTAATTAGTATAAACTGTTCAATGAATGGAATTAAATGTGATATACTCGATTCGATATCAAAAATGGGTCTTTCTCTTTGCCAAATTCTCGCTGTATATTCTAAGATCAGTCAATGTCCGTTCACTATATAGTTTAGAGTGGGTTAATGGCATTCTTAAATTTTCGAACGCTTTTTCGAAAATTTTTACAAACTCTCGAACGCTTCTAAAAATTATGAAAAATTTTTGAATATAATTTGATAATAAAGAAAATTTACAAACTTTATTAATTTGTTATAAAAAAAATCAAATTTTTCTAAAAAAAATCAAATTTTTCTAAAAATAATCAAACTTTTCTAAAAAAAAAATCCAAATCCATCCTGTATCATATACACATTTTCAACGCTTAGTTCCACCATCACTCCTCTGTGGGGTATCTGTAGAGTTCGGCAATAGCAACGAACTTATCCAGAAACATAGGCTTTATCGTGCATCAGTCTTTTAACCCACATTCTTTTCCCGCGAATTTGGGTTTAAATCAAAGCTACCACATGCACCCCGAGGGGACCACCCCAATAACCGAGACAAGACAAAGTCCTAAACTCTGCATACAATTGATCAACACCAGTTTATAGTCCCAGCAGACTAGAGGTACTGATAGCACCTCATTTCCCCGGGATTGCAATAACACCAAGATGGGGTTTTTCATCAAGGTAACATGCCCCTCGGGGGTAACAAAGACGGAAAATTAACATTCTTTCGAGGCACTTTAAATATTGATGAAGCATGTTTACTATTATTGAGGATTATTAACGCCTCCTTCTTTCTAAATGTTGTACATGTTATTAAAAAGGTTTTCTTAAGACATCATACAGTTTTCCAGTTTAAAGATGATATTTCAAAAAATACTAAAAATTATTCACCCACATAAATACAACAACTTCATCTATATATTACATACATTATCATTACAATATATTTTCCATACACTAATAACAAAAATTGTTTTTCAATTTTAAAAAAAAAAAGATCAATCTAAACTAAATTTAAACTAAAATTAAAAACATAATCACAATTTAAACTAAAATTCTTTCTATCAGCAGTGTTGTCTTAAATTTTTACTAGATAAATCATTATATTCTATCCATTTTTGTATTTCCACTGGTAAGTCGGGTTTCAACTTCGTACGCACTTGTCCATTCTCAGCCATATTTTGATCGACATTTGTACTGCTAATGGCATGATCTAATGTTACGGTAGAACTGAGTGTGTTACGTGAGGCCTGCAATTGAGCCGTTTTGGGTGAGAGTAATTCGGCCATAACATCATCGGCCGAACAGTCTATAATGCGTTGACGGCAAATGGCTATGCAGTGGATGAATTGATCAGATGGCCGGATAAAACGATGTTCCATATAGACGGATTGGTCGTCCCAGTAAATTATCTTAAAAAAGGAAATTTGATTAAAGTTAATACTAAAAATTGACATGGATCTACGATATCGTTAAGGAATCGTTGAGGAATCTGGCAATTGGCCTAATTTTGGCAAACTTACCCTTGATACAATATTAAATCTATGAAATGGTCGTATAAAACGTCTGTAACGTATTGTGGCAGCCCCTTGAAATACTGAACCTCCTTTAGCGAGAATTGTACGATATAAATTAGTGCGTTCATAAAAATCTACTCTTGCAAAATCCAATTCTCGAAAATAACGAGCGTTGTTCATGTGATATAGCAGCGTATCGATGTCATTGGTTAAACAAATACCTAAAAGAGAAATAAATTTACAACACCAAAATAATAAAGTTCAGTTAAAGAATTAAAATTAATAATGCTGTGAATTTTTGTAGAAATAATTTCGGTCTTCGGTGGAAAGGAATAATTGGCATCGAACCAAACAAAAGATTTCTAGCTATTGTTTACAAATAGAATGGCTGTTTTACAACACCTCGTAGAGGAACTAGGTAGAAAGTTTTCGGAACTTCGGACTAGAAGTCAAGAGGAAATAAAACCTTTGTATTGTCATTATTATAGGATAACCTTTGAAAGCTTCCAAAACTGTTTCTAACAGATGTTGAAACAATAAAACGGTAGGTAGTATAAGTAGGTAGTTATACCGTATTTCGTTTCGAAGAAGAATCGAAATACGGAATGGAGTAATCTCACAAAACAGCAATGGTATCAATACACACGAGATTTCTTTATATGTGTGAGATAGAAGGTCTAATACTGAATATCAAACTAAAAATAGGATCAACCTTAGTCTATCTAATCTATTACTATGAGATTAAGGTCCAGAAATTGTGCTATCCATATTGGCCTATTGTGTGATTATTAAATTTATCAAATGTATCTTGCGTTTTAAGAACTTTCCAGGCAATTATTAGAAGTTATTCTGAAGATTTGCCAGAAAGTTCTTCAAATTGATCAAAAGAACTTCAGAGAAAGGTTTCTTTATCTAGGGACCAAACTGTGATATAGTTGAAGTTTTCTTATTCAAAGTTTTCGGGCGATAGGAATTAAACTTGTGATACTAGTGGGAGTTTCGCAGTTAAACAGGAGTGGTGAAAAACTGTCTGTGTTTAACTTGGGCCATTTGCTTATAATCTGTTTTTACAGTCGCTCGGATAATTTCCGATTATTAAGAAGTTAAATATAAACTAGTAAAGAATCAAGACAGTATTTCCTAAATGGAACTAATATTAAGAAGTACTTGAGAAACACCGCAGTGTTTCCTAGAACGGGCCTTAGAACTATCGGCGACATCGCTAGTTCCAAGTGGTTAAGTTTTTACTTGTTTTAGAACTGGTGTATTTCAGATTAAAAATTTTATAAAGAACTAGTAAAGAACCTTGCAGGGAACTGGTCTTAGAAATTAAGACGTCATCAATAGTTCCAAGGTTGCTATCCACGTACATATCTAAATTGCTTCTGTAGCAATTGTTTAAAAACCAGTTATGAGTTTCAAATGTTGATTACTTATAAAAATAGACTTATAACTGCAAAAATCAAGTTCAGCAATTAGTAAACAAAATAATATTGTACATACCGGAAACAGTTGTTGTTTCTAAAATATGACATTTCCTTTTGATAAAACGGGCCAGCAGGACACACAGGCACATACGTAGGAAGTAATGTAATTCAAATAAACAATATAATAATAAAATTGTAGCCAAACAGCAAAATAACCAAAAGCCAATTTCAGAGGCCATTTTTTTTTATCGGGGCTAATAAAGCCTTGATATTATATATAGATATAGTTAGTGATTAGTACTGGTACTTATTTAAATAGTAAGTAATTCTAATATAAATTTTAAATATTTGAATGTTTGTTGTTGCCTTTAAGTAGCTCTGGTGGTGGTGGGCTTAGTTGTAATTTGTTGTTGTTGTTGTTCTATTTATCCTTGCATTTGTGGTTTTTAATTTGTTGTGATTTCTTCTTCTTCTTTTGTACTATTTGATTTGACAGTATGTCTGTCGGTCTCTCTGTCTGTCTTTCTGTTGTATTTCCCAATTAGGGTTGTTTAATTAAAATTTACACTGTTGCTGGCTTTTTAATTGCTGCTGCTGTTAATGATTTTGTTGTTGCCGTTGTAGTTGTATAATACATGTTGTTGTTGCAAGAAAAACAATTAAATATCCTTTTATATGGCTGCTGATGATGACTATGTTTAGAGTTTTCTTTTAAAAATTTGGATCAATAGCAAAGAAATTTATATAAAACTGTTCTTATTTTGATGATAAGTAATAGTATTTCATCATTTTTTATGTATATTTACATATATAATATTACAAAGATACTTCTTTCAAACTTGTAGATATTGTGTATATGAGTGTGTGTGTGGTTTTTTATTTGTTAAAGGACAATGCAAAAAATATTGTAGTAAGGCGGAAACTTTTTCTGTCTTGTCTCTTCTTTTTTAAAGCTCTAGAGAATTTTTAAAGTTACTAAAAGATTTATTTAAATTTAACTAATATTTAAATAGTTTATTAAAAATATATTTAATTTTTCCTTTTTTCTTTTCTTTGAGGCAATACAAAAAACGTTTATTTAATTATAGGCAAAAACAAGAAATTATTTTAGAAATAAACAACGATTCTTAAAGAACTAAATACTACAACTGACTAACTGTCTGATGGTAATTTCTTGATTTCTTTCTTTATATTCTTGTTGTCCTTTCTCTTTTATTTCCACTTTGTGGGTTTTTTTCTTTTTAGCTAATGCGGACTATAGTTACACAAATTTTACAGTAATTGAGAGGGAATAAGAGATTATGAATCAGTTATTTCAAAATAAATATTGACGCTTGCGCCTTTTCGAAATATGCTCCGGTATTTTAACAACTATTGTGGGGGAAATTTGGAAAGGAATGAATTCATTTATTGCGATTTTGTGGATAAACATTAATATTAGACTATAGACTAGACTAGACTATAGACTAGACTATAGACTAGACTATAGACTAGACTATAGACTGGACTATAGACTAGACTATAGACTAGACTATAGACTAGACTATAGACTAGACTATAGACTAGACTATAGACTAGACTATAGACTAGACTATAGACTAGACTATAGACTAGACTATAGACTAGACTATAGACTAGACTATAGACTAGACTATAGACTAGACTATAGACTAGACTATAGACTAGACTATAGACTAGACTATAGACTAGACTATAGACTAGACTATAGACTAGACTATAGACTAGACTATAGACTAGACTATAGACTAGACTATAGACTAGACTATAGACTATAAACTAGACTATAGACTAGACTATAGACTAGACTACAGAGTAAACTGTAGACTAAACTTTAAACTAGACTATAGTTTTGACTATAGACTAGACTGTAGACTAGATTATAGACTAGATTTTAGACTAGACTTTAAACTAATCATTAAACTAGACTATAGACTATACTATAGGCTATAGACTAAACTTTAAACTAGACTATAGACTGTACACTAAACTTTAGACTAGTCTTTAGACTGGACTTTAGACTAGATTATTAGAAACTAAACATTAAACTAGACTATAGACTATACTATATACAACACTATACTTCAGACTACAAATTAGACTATAGACTAGACTAATCTATAGACTATATTATAGACTAGACTATAGACTGAACTTTAGACTAGACTATTGACTACACTATAAACTACACTATAGACTAAACTTTAAACTAGACTATAGTTTAGACTATAGACTAGACTGTACACTAAACTTTAGACTAGTCTTTAGACTAGATTTTAGACTAGACTTTAAATTAGTCTACAGACTAAACTATAGACTAGACTATATACAACACTATACTATAGATTAGACTATAGACTAGACTAGACTTTAGTCTATAGTCTAGACTAAACTATAGACTAGACTATAGACTAAACTATAGACTAGACTATAGACTTGATTATAGACTAGACTTTAGACTAGACTTCAGACTAGACTTTAGACTAGACTGTGTACTAGACGTTAGACTAGACTTTAAACTAGACTATAGACTAAACTATAAACTAGACTAAAGACTAAACTATAGACTAGACTAAACTATAGACTAGACTTTGGTGAAATATCAAAATTTTTAAGAAATACAGGATTTTTAATAAAATAATAAATTTTCGTTGAAACTGCAGAAAAAAATTTCAAATATTTGCTAAAATGGCAGAATTTTTAATTCAAATTTACCTCCATTACTTCAAGTCCCAATGTATTAATCATTTCAATGTTCTGAACTATATTTACCTATTAGTTTTCTTGCTTATTTTCTTGTTATTAAACTATTTTAATCCATGCATCACAATGTTATGTCCGTGCCTCTTAATGTCTCGTTTTACGCTTTATACGTACATACCAAACTATAAAAGTTGTAAAAAATATTTGCATTGTTGTGGTCTAGGGCTCTGCCCGTTATTTATATACACACGTGTAGTGTGTAGTAACTAGAGGTATTTCTCTCCTTGTAGGAGGAGGTGTTGGTTGTATTATTTTTTTCTAATGTTTATTTAACAACCCTTAAAATTGTTTGTTTTTAATTTTTCTTTTTAGATCATTTAAAATAGAAAAAAAAACATGTTTACCCATAACCTTAACCATCATCACTATCACTATCTATTTTAGTTTGCAATGTTGTGCAAGGTTTAAAAGGAATTTTACGTAATATTATAATTGACAAACGCTTATATGCAACTGTAGACCTTTAAAGTATAAGAAATAATTAAGGGGAGGGCGGGTATATTATTGAATTAAATTTGCTATAAAAAAGTGCAAAAAAAAACAAGGGGAAATAATAGTTTTAGAATTGATAGAGTTTAGAAATAAATACATATTTAATTCATTTATTTTACAAATTGAATTTGTTTAAATTTTAAAGGTATCTCATGAACTTCTGACTTTTGAGATAATTTCGAGGACAATTTTCTAGATTAGGATTTTAACGAAAAAGTCGCCTATAAAATGTCGGGGGCCATTTTAACTTAATTTCGATATCGAACCGTGTATTCGATATGTAACTTATTCGATATAAGATTTTCAGTGACGGACCCTATGGTGTTCAATATATCTTAGTTGATTTATATCACAGGGCTAGGAAGATTATTTCGGTTTCCATGGAATGTCAACATGACTGATGAAATAGATTCGATATCAATGCTTACCTCATCACATTATTATCATCCCTGCACTTAGTATGTTGTTGCTGCAGCAACAGCACTTAGTAAGTCGAATCCACTGCTACTTACGATTGTATATAGTAACTATAGGTATTTGGCCCGCTTGCAATAGCATATTTGTATTTGGGAAAACTCGTATTTCTGAAAACTTGAAGTATTCTTCTAAGGCAGCGTTTCACGAAAGTTTTGAGCCGGTGTGTAATGCTACGACAGTCTTTCCATATTCTACAATCCTAGCGAAGTATCGATTTAACGTTTGCTTCAGAAATTGGTAATATCCTACATTGACAAGTAGCTATATCCAGGATTTTTGTTTATCTTGAGCCCTGGCTGTTTCATTGTCTCCTCAATGTCCAATGGTGTACTTTTAAGGTCACAAAGTCTACAAGAAAGCTAACAAATATCATCAGCTTATGCTTTCCCTAGTTTTTGTTCTCTATTGAGCTTATAACTAGGAACAAGAGTCATGGCAATATATATCCTTGGCATACACCACGGTTCACCTTAATAGACTTTTTTTCTTGCTAATTGTATATAATTCTAACTATATATAACTCTGATTTTCTCAAAATGTAAAAAAAGTTGTAGAAGATCGAATCTGAATTCCACGAAATAATAAATATTTGATAAAATATTGAATTGGAATCCTTGATAATACTCACCCCAAATAGCTAATTATTCACCAATCTTCTGCATTTCAATTCTAAGCGAAATTTTCTTCATTTGGCAATTTTGATATTCCAAATTTCGATTCGATGTTCCGGCATTTAAATAATAACTTTTCCATCGTTGAGTAATTGAATACAGAAAAGTTGTAGAAATAAAATTGAGTTCGCCATAACCGTCCTTTTTATCTTGGAATCTTGCTTTTAACACTTGCTTATAAATTTTTACAAAACTGCAGGATCACTCACTCTTTTACTTTCAAATCTTAATAGTTTCTGTTTTTAAATAATATTTTTGTTGTTGTTTTTATTATTATTAATTTTCTCCTTTTTCTGTTTTTTTTCGTTTTGTAATATTATTGCATTATAATAAAATAGAATACATAAATTGTTTATAATTATTATTTGTAATTGTATATTAAATTTAACTTATTAAGGAAAAAGAAAACAATTTGTTTTAGCAAGAAAGTAAGATTTTTTTTATAAATAGAAATAAATTGTTTTTAAACACAACATCATAATTCTTGTTATTAAAGGTTATTTCTTTAATATTAAGTTAATAATAAGAAAAAATATATAAGATTTAGATTGTTTTAAAAAGGGGGCAAAAATTAAATTAGAAGTTTTGGGGTGTTGTTGTAAGGGGTGAGTGATTGTAACTATAGTTTTAGTAGATTGTTAAATTGTAGTTTAAGAGTTTTTTTGTTTTTGTTTTAATTACTGGAACACAATATAATGCAATTAAAAATATTTGTAATATTTTTAGTTAATCCTAACTACTTGTTGTTTTAAAGTTTAATGAGTAGATATAGATGTGTGTGTGTGTGTAAATTGTGGTATAATTGTTTTGTTTTTCTTGTTTTAATTATTTCAGTCACTAAATAAAGTTAAGTTATTGTTTGTTGTTTGTAGTTTGTTAAGAGAAATAATAAAGAAATCAAATTATACATTTAAATTTACGTATAATATTTTGGTTATAAAAACAACACAACAACTACAGTAATAATAAACCCATTCTTAAGAAAGTAAATTGTTCAAATTATAAACATTTTTTTTTCATTTACAATTTACAGCAAGAATTAGTTTAAAAAGTTAGAAAGAAAGGAAATGAATTGGAATAAGTGTTTGTAAGAAAAAGTTAACAACATAACAGAGAAAAAAAGTATTAGTTTTAGTTTAAGTTTTAGGAGAAGTTGAAACAATATATTTACACATTATTACTAAAAAAAATCGACAAGAAAAAAGAAGTGAAAAGTTTAAGTGAAAAGAAAAAGAAATAATTAATTAAAGCGTCTGATATTTTGTTGCATTTAGTTGCTGTAGATAATGTTTAAATGATAGTCGCTGTTACCTAGAAATTGTGGGCTACATATAAAGTACAGCACGCACACTTAAACAGTTATACATTATGTACAAAATAATAATATGAATAAAAAAAAGTAGGGGATTTTTAATTCTAAGAGAATCTCCAAATATACATTTGACATTGTAGGCGTAGTATTTTGTTCGCCTGTTATTTAATGCGTAAACAAATCTAGTTCGTTGATTATAGTGGTGGTAACTGTTAGCATCTTTTTCAGATTTTTTCATTTAAAACACACATTTCATTGAAATTACAATTGTCTAAACTGTGGGCAAAGAGTTTGCGCAAAGTAGACAAACTGCACAAATCATGGTCAACCGGACAGCCTGGTATGTGCACTATTTGCTCTTGGTGCATGGTTAAGACCTTAGGACCTTCATTTTCACAACTGAAAAAAAAACAAATTACACAAAATTATAATTTGCATAAGAATTATTATTCATCATACACTTACTCATATAAAACAAAAGCCACATTTGTGGCAAAAGCATCAATGGCGCTGGTACGCCATTTACGTTGTTTACCATAATCTTGAAAGGTTAAAGGCGCCTCATCCTTATATAAACCCAAATGTGCCAGTACTTTAAGTAAAGTGCCTGAATGTGTAAAATAAAATGTAGCATTTGGCAAAGAAGATAAAGGGCTGTGAAAATAAATCTCATTAATATCATTATTTAACGAAAACATCTTTCATTCTTAAACTTACTCAATATGCTCAAACATATTGGCTATGGCTGGACAGGCAATTTGATGTGTCAATTCATAGCCATAGCCATCATTCCAATAGTATTCTAAATCTTCGGCAAATTCTAAAATTTGTATAGATTTGCGATCGAGCAATTGACACCATACCGATGGTTCTTTGCGTCGTTGCCAGGCTGTTTCAAAGGCACACACCGTATAGATGAGCCTTGCTGTAGGTGCATCAATGTCAGACAATTTAGTTTTCTTGCGCAGTTGTTTGAGAACGTCGAGCATGTGATCTGTTTGCAAAAATTTACGCACATTGTCAAATGTTTGGGGATTTTTATCGACATCAGTTTTCCAGCGACTACATAATTTATAAAACTAAAATGAAAATGGAAAGAACATATTTAAGTTTCTAATTAAAATAGTTTCTTTTAAAATTTAAACAATTTTTTAATGAAAATTTAAATGTTGATGCAGATTTTACAAGAGGAAAAATATTTTTTCAATTTTTATATTAACATACATAATAAAATAAAAACACACACAAATCCTCTCTAATTACCTGGTGATGGTTCATATACAGCCACCGTATTGTCTACAAAACCTACAGCTAAAGACATTTTGTGTAAATGGAAAGCTAGACATGTGGGATGTCCAATTTTTGGACCCATAAAACTATCATTACTACGCAAAGTACTGTGTATACGACCACCTTGTTGTGTACTATATATAGTGATTTTATTAGCGCTACCGCAAGCTACAAGATCGGCCGATTGATGGGCCGCTATAGCGGTTACATCATTGCCCACCTCCCACTGATGTAGTATACCACCATTGGGTGCTTTCGAACGCAAATCTATGACACTTATTTTGCCTTGTGAACAACCACTAACTAGAGTTGTTTGATTGTCCTTGAGACAACAGCTTAGTATTGCACCAGGATTTTCGCGATAGACACGTATACGAGCTTCTTGTGGTGAACAACGTTTGTCATAGAGACGAACACTGCCATCTCCACAGCCGCCTACGATTAGTTCACTACGTGCATTGCTGGCAAAGGGCGAAAGAACACGTATACTATGTTCGCTGCCGATGGGAATGTCGCTGACGCGCAGTTCACGCTCAACATCCCAAATGCGTATGAAACGACTTGCTCCGCCAGCTACCACTAGTTGTTGAGAACACTGCTGCCAGGAAGTTACCAAGCCACAGCTATCTCCGGCAATGTCTTTGCGTGTGTACTTCGAGCTCGAACCCAAACTGGGTGAAGCGCCCAAATAGTTAGCCTGTAGAGCTGGCAATGCTACCCAGGCGGTAACCAGGCGGCCCGGGGAATCTCGTGCTTGTTCTTCAGATGTAGCACTGGTGTTGGGTTGCCATATGCGAACAACTCCATCCTCATGTCCCGCCAACGTTAAGGGCACATCATGAGCATTCAAAAATTCAATAGCACTAACACGAGCCACCGTACTGTGGGCCGTATGTGGAGGTGGTGAGGCCGACGAGGTTCTACGGCGTGAAGTGGCAGCATTCGATGGCACAGCGGTTGGTGTAAATGTTCGAACTGTATTACGTTGCCAGTCGTACAACAAGACCTTCTCTCGGTAGGCTACCGCAATTTGTTGTTCATATGGCAGCAATCTGACCAGAGAGGGTGTGGACTGGGTTTTACGTGACCAACTTTGGGTGTCGATACGTAGAGCTCTTGTTTGCTGATCTCTAGCTTGACGTCTTATTTGACGGTTACGTTGGTAACGACATTCACGGGTCCTTAACACCGGATCATTTTTGTCTATGGGGAAAACTTGTACCCGTTCACTGGACTTATCGGCTGCATAACGATGTTTGCCTGGTCGGGTGAAATAGGAAATTGCCCAGGGTATGAATTCAGTCGCTACAATTGGTTTCAGTGTATGTGATTTGGATTCAAAGTTGTTATCACTTGTGCTGCTATGGCCGGACGCTGAACCATCACCTCCACCTACACCACCAACACCTCCACTGCCATTACCACTAGCTGCATTCGGTTCATTTATAATGGTTGCTGTAGCAGAGGGTCCAGCACAACTGTCCGTTTCATCATTCATGGAAGTGGTACGTAGCTTACGATGCAGCAATGCTTGTGGATCATTTACCAGATTTCTTAGTTTCGGCGTCCAGTGATTCGATTGGCTGACATGTTGCCCACCACCACCACCAACAGGCGGTGATTCTCCTGCACCTCCTCCACTGAGATAAGACACGCGTGTATTTGGACTTGGTGGCAAACTTACACTTAGACTAATACATTTTTCATTAGTTGCCTCTTTGGCTGTAATCAAGCAGAGTGCAGCATTCTCTATGTGTTTTATAATCTCTTGAGCTGTCTCCGCCACCTTGGGGAAGGGATCTTGACCGAGTAGGTAGATACCCTGCCAAAGTTTAAGGAAAATCGATTGAAATGGTATGGCGGCCGAACTGATATTCGAAATAGAACTCGAGCTAACTCCTCGTCGCATGGTGGCATGACGTTCTAGACTGTGTGTGGAATGATGGTGCATGCCACCCCCATGACCACCACCGGCAGTGGATAATGAGACTCCCGTCAAAACATGGCTAACACTGGCGCTGCGATCTCCAGATGAAGACGATGACATGGGCTGTTCTTGCAGATATACCGTAACAAATTGCGATTCAAAAAGCAGCACCATCCATTGTAGGGCAGCCGCCAATTCCAGACGCACCAGTGGAGACATATCTTCGCTAACACTTTCGATTAAAGTAATGGCTATAATGCGATCAATATTATTGGCATGCTCTTCCGAACGGTCTGTTACCGAACTGATAAATGTGCCCAAAGCAAAAACAGCGGCAGCTCTAACTTCGGGTATGGGATCTTTAAGTAGTGGATATAGCTTTTCATGAGCCAAATCTCGAACACCAGACCAGCGGGCTTTTTCAAAGTTTTGCCAAAGCATTCCTTGAATTGTGAAGAGAAAATAATGAATGAGAATAAAGCTTAAATAATTGCAAAGCTATTACCTAAACATATGGCCAACCATTGCCTTAAAAGCCAGCTTTCGTCATTAAGTTGTTCCAGACATATGGACACTAGAGAACCCTGCAAAGCGCTCGTTTGTCCCAACAAGAAATTATTTACAATGCAGGCCAACACGAAGGCCGATAATGTACGATATTCCTTGGCCACCGAAGTGTCTTGCAAAACAGCCAAAAAGTATTTGTGATCCTTAACTAAATCCACCTGGCAAGAAGGATCTACTGCCAAGATCTTGGCCCATATAAATACCAAAACAGGACGTAATTCTTTTGCAGAGCTTTGCAGAAGTTTAAGTACATAAGGAAATATGCCCACACCCAGAGCCAAATCCACAGCCCAGGGACCCAGATCCAAAAAACGAGCCAAAAGCTCCAAAGCTCTTAAGCGATGAACTTGCGAAAGGAGAACTTGCAAAACGATGGGCAGTTGTTCGGGTGGAGTGCGTGACTCTGACTCACGATCTAGCCAAACTTGAAATGCTGTAAGTTGCTCCTCAAAGAAGGGCAGCTGTTTGTAGGGAGCACCATGCTCTAAAATATCCGGCAATTGCTGCAAAGCCAAATCTACCACCAAATCCCAGGCAGTCCACATGGGATGGCGGAAGCAGGGTGGTAATGCCGGATGCGATACTGGCGTACAATCGTGAGAACGAAGAATTCTTTCCGCCAAAAGGAAATTACGAAACAAGCTGGCCACTAGTAGATCTTGTCTGAATAGTTTTTGAAACAACTCCCGTGGCAAGGTATTCCACGCTATGGTATCTGTTATGGCAGTAAATACCCAATTGAGTTCTCCCAACATGGTGCGTCGATCATTCACCTTTCCCGGTATTTTATCAATGAATTCTGTATGCAGGCGGGGCACCAAAACAAATTTCTCACGCATCGTATACCATTTTAAGGCAATATTTATGGGTGTGGTAAGGCAGGAGGTAAATAAATCAGCCGGCAACTGGGCATTCATGGGCAAAATCTCACCCACTGAACAGGCGGCCAAATGGATGCAATTCTTGTAACTGGGGGGCAGATTAGACGATTGAACGCCCGGGTGAAAACGTTGGGCAGCCGCTATAGCTTTTTGCACTTCCCGCTCTTGTTGTTCGGCAAACTGCAAAAAGGACTGGATGATAATGCCGGCATTTGAGCAGTCGTATACATAAATTGAGGGATCATCCATCCAACTTTGCAGCTCAAAGATACTTAAGGGTATGTACTGCGTAAAGGTTTTATTGAATACCCATATCTCACCGTTAGCTGTAGGCTTGGGCACACCATGACCATTGTAGTGGAACAAAATACGTTCTCCCTTAGCGTTGCGTCGCAGAGAAATGCACAACTTTTTCACATCCTCTACGGTAGGATCGTGACATTTTTTGTAGCGTGCCCTTGGCTGCCATCTCTCGTACTGCATTTGTAAATTCGAACCAATTAGATCCATGGCCTTGGCTGCCGAAACTGAAGAGGGATCTATCCAGCATTCCAAGCGTGAACAAGGTTGAATTTTAATCACATCTGGCGGATCTACACCAATATTTAGGCATAACACTAAAGCCACACTAGCGGTTTTCATACGTTCTCGTATACGCCATGGTTGACGATCACATTCAATGGACTCTATAGCCTCATGATGCCGCTTGGCTTGAAAACACAACGGACAGAAATTATCGGGCACTACCTCTACACTCTCTCCCATTGAAAGCTGTTGTAACGCTTTGGTTACTTGACTGTCGCTGGACATGGAAGTTTTACGGCTGGCCGACATATTGGAATAACTGCCTACCGAAGTCAGCGATGTTGCTACCTTACTTGTACTTTCACTGGCACTGGTACCCGCGCTTGAGGCATAAGAGGTGCCGGGTTTTATGATACAATTTCCAGTTGTAGCACTACCACCTGCTCCCGTCGACACTGTATTTACTGCTGTTGCATTTATATAGTGAGACTCGAACATTGATCAATGTTTGAAATTACTTTTCGCACAACAATAATTACTTCTAGCCGGACAACAACAATCAAAAGTCGTAGAAAACATTAACGAGCAGCAACAGCAAAATTAATAACACTAGCAGCAGTATCAGCTAGAGTAACAGCAACAATAGTTGAAACAGCAGCAGCAGCAACAACAATGAATGAAGTATTCGTCGTCTGTATTGTGTTTAAATTAACAAGGCGTCTTTTGTCTGGCCTTTATTTATGGATGCAGAGAGTGAGAGGGCGTTATATTGGCCTTTTTATTGAATTTTCATTATAAATCCATTGAAAATTTGTTCGCGGTTTTTGTTCCTTTTCTTAATAAATTTCAATTATTCACTATTTTGTTCTTTTTTATGTATTATTTTTTGTCTTTTCGTTTATTTGCTTCACAAATTGCGGCTGAATTCTTGGAATTCTCTCGTTCGTTAGTACAATCAAAACAACATAACCACAATTTTTTTGCGTAGGGAAAATAGTTTCCCTAACGATTTTTTCCAACACTTTTCACTTGAGTTTTTCAATGCTTTCTCTAAGAAATTTCAACTTTCTGGCATTTGTTTCGATAAATCCACTTAATATTTTATTGTTTTAGGCAATTTAATAATTTCAAATTTGTATTGTTATTAAATAAAAATAAAATTAAAACGCAACCACGTTAATATGAAAAAATACGCAGCATTTTTTCACAGTTCAACTTTTTGACTTTTTTCTTTCTCACTGTCGCATGCATAATGAAAGGTGTGGAGATGCCAGAGTATGATACCAAAAAAAGTAAATAAATTTTAAAGTTTTGTCTTAAAATAAACAAAAACATTTGTGTTTAGGAATACACAAACAAATATAAATAATCGATTTGTTTAAAAACAAAGCCAAAGACCTGTTTATTTAATAAAACAAGTTTTGTTTTTATTTATTAATTTACCGGTCGTGCTTTGCTTGAAAGGTGGCATTACTTAACAATAATTCAATCTCTCCCTCGTTCTCTTCAATTTATGGAAAAAGCTAAATGTCAAAATGATTTGTGTTGCCAGAGGTTTTTGGTTTGTGTAGAGGGAATTTATAAATCGTTAAAAAGTTGTGGGAAAAATCTGAATGCTTGCTAAAAATTAGTCTTTAAAAATATACATAACACATATAACAAACTTTTATTTATGAAATTTCGTATACCATCCGTAAGTCCAATCTATTGATTTAAAGTAAAGTTTAACCTCGGTTGTATCTTCTTCCTTCTTCGAGATATATTTACTTATATATACAAGTTCCCTGGGTTTCAACTTATACAAACTATTTGAAACAGTTTTATTTTTTCAATTAAGTACTTGATTAACTGAATAAAAATCGGAATATTCTTTATTAAACCCATTACTTTAAATCATCTACTAAAGGGCCCTTTAGACTATAAGACTTTACGTTTGAAAAAACCTAAACCTTTCCTATCCGTTCTCTTCTACACAATATTTTGACAGATCATATTACTTGTGGTAAATGTAAAAGTAGCTTAAGTTTTCATAAAAATATTTATTCCATTTTATGGCAACTTAATAAATCCTAGATAATCTATGGGCAACTCTTAAAAACGCATAAGGGCATTGCCATACTCAAAAAGAAAATCGGTTTAAACAAGTAAATACATTTAAATCTAAACGAATTTAATTACACACTTACCCTTAGAACCGGATCTCTATGTAAAGCCTCTGGATAATCTATATTGCCAATATTATTTCTACCGAAGAAACCGGTAGCAAAACTCTGAGCACTCTTCAAAGTCCTTTGGGTAGCAGTGTACTTAAAGTAGTAACGCTTTGGATTGTAAATTTCAGGCATTAGCATTGGAAATCTATTTTGCATACGTTCCGCCAACTCTATGAGTTCATCTTCTCCCTCGGCTACTAAATATTTTTCTTTCCTCTGCGCTGACGGTAAATTCCATTTACTTAATCTTTCCAATTGTTTTCCGAGCACAATTCAACATCTTTGGTTGCCCAAAATGTGGTCTCTCAAGGACTTTAATTGAGTTTTGATACGAGCTATAACCTTTTTACCTGGATTGCGTGTACCATGTCGTATAACGGACCAAAGGCGTAAGGGATGGCAACCTAAAATAGATATTTTATTACGGATTACACAATTATTTTTACATTTTTGACCCACCTTTTATAATTTATAGTTTTATCATTCAAATTGGCCACCACACGATATGGAGTTTTCGTAGACAAATACTGTTCAATGTCTTGTCGGGGTAATTCATTGCACAATTTAGTTTCCTTTCCATTATCATAATTATAATCTCCTGCATTGACACTGATTTTAAAGATTAGAAATGTAAAACAAGAACAACAAATAAACGTAAAGACATTGTAAAAACAAAATAATTATAGTTCTAGTCTAGTGTTTTTGCATTTGTATGCAAAAACTTGTCAAGTTTAGAAAAATAAATGTGTGAAGAATATTAAAAAGTTGGAAATTAAAAAAATGATTAATATGTAAAAAACACTTTATATAGTAGCAGCACCAGAGGGAGAAGAAGATAAATAAAAAATACACAATATTTACGAAATTAGAAATGTAAACATTAAACAGATGTTTTGTAGTTCTATTACATGTCAAATAATGAGGTGCGTCAAGATAACAACAACGGAAATGAAAAGAGGAAATTTTTAAATATCTTGTGGTATTTAGTGGCATCACTTTTATAAATTAGTAAATTAATTAATATACATTAAAATTACATTTGAATAAACGAATTTACCAACTTGTGCATTCTAGTCTGGTAGACAGGTCATGGGTTCGATTCTCAATGTCTAAATAATGAGAAATCTGAATTTCTCAAAATTTATCAGTATGGATTTCAGAACAAATGGCCTATTATCTATGTATCTATCTATCTATCTATCTATCTATCATCTATATATCTACGACGAGCGAGCGAGCGAGAGAGCGAGCGAGCGAGCGAGCGAGCGAGAGAGCGAGCGAGCGAGCGAGGAGCGAGCGAGCGAGCGAGAGAGCGAGCGAGCGAGCTAGCGAGCGAGCGAGCGAGCGAGCGATCGAGCGCGCTATCTATCTATCATCGATCATATCATATATCTATCTATCTATCTATCTCTATCTATCTATCTATCTATCTATTTATCTAAACTCTCTTAACTCATCTAAAAAGTTTACTTTTTTTACTTTTAGATTAAAAAGAGAACAAAACAAAATGTTACCAACACTAAATGAAAATTGATAACAACATTGATTTCAGTCGTCATTTGCAATTTTACACACATGAAACACCGAAAAAAGTCACAGTGTTAAGACCAAGACCCTGACTGTTAGAGGTGTCGAGTGGCAAGCTTAAGTATTATTTATTTATTTATTATTATTTATTCAAAAACAATGGCCGTAAGCCGATAGGGCCTAATTGGCTAGTCTACAATTAAATATACTTATAATACAAAAATATTATTGGTACATTATTTAGTAAGAAAATATAACATATATTTATAATTTTTTTTAATTATAATTTTCTTATTTTTAATAGTTAGACTTGAAGTTTTGCACACACTGATTAGGATTCTATAAATTGGTGAAAATAAAGATAATATTATTAGCCTAAAAATGACAGTAAAACATAATAGGAGCGAAATGCAATAAGGTTATATAAAAGATTTTTTGCAACAAATGAGTTATACCAATTAAATATTTTATAAAAACTTAGGGGAAATGGCTGTACAATATACATTTACATAGTGGAATATCATTAAAAATAGGCTCAGGGTTAGTTATGAATTCGACAAAAAAATATTTTTAAATGCATATAATGAATGTGAGAATTTACGTTCCTGGTAAGGAATAACAGTATTCCATAAGCGCGCTATGTTAACTCGAAATGATCTCGTCATAAATAATGAAACATGTGCTGGACATATTAAAGAATGTGTTCTATTTGAAATAGCAAAGTTAAATTTATTCTGCAAATAGTCAGGTTTACCATATTTTATAGTTTTAAAAAAGAAAATCATTTTTCTCAACTGAACATATCGAAAGAAACTACAACCAAGTAAATCAACGTAATATTGAGAAACATGATCACTAATCCGAAGTC